GCCAAGGCAGGCGGGTTGGACCCCACAGCTTGGAAACAGCCAGTTTCCTTACAGGGGTTAGAAATGAGAACAAGGAGCCATTCCTACTTCAGTTTTGACAATTTTTTGTAAACGAGCAATTATCGAGGGCTTACCATATGCCACACTCTGTGCAAAGACTTCACAGTGTTAATTTTAGCCTCACAACAGCCATATGAAGGAAGTACTATTATTATCATCCGTATTTAAAAGTGCGTGTCAGATATCGTGTCTTGATCCCTGACATTCTCAGCTCGCCCTAATACCGCACAGGCTGGAAGCTTGGAAAATACACTTCCCAGATTCTATTGCCAACAGCACGCCAGTTTAGAGTCCACCAATGAGAGAAGCACACGTGAAATTTGGCAGGCTTAGGAGAAGCCATTATTTGGAAGGTGCAGCCGTGAATGTCTCCAAAGATCAGACTGGAGACTCCACCAGCTCTTCTGACAATCACTGACAGTCATGCTTCAGGCAAAGTCATTAGCAGTGATCCCCAGCAATTTCTGTAACTTCTTGGTATCCTGAAATGCAGTGGTGCTTTTCCCCAATCCTCACTCAAACAGCCTTTCTAATGAGTCTGGAAGCATCAAAACCCCTTTGATGCTTAAAATCCACCTTCCTGCTTGAAATACCTTGAACACTCTGTTTCCGTGACCGAACTCCAGCTAACACAGCAATTGGTTCCAGGAACCAAAGCCTCAGTGAGAATGACAATCTGGAATGGTTAACTGTCCTGGTTAGAGTTAGAGTTAGAAATGACATCACTGTCAATAGGAAATGGGTCAGTGCCCAGGGGGGTATGTACTGGACATTTACTAAAATTACTGCTAGTATTTGCCTGTGAGGCAAGTGCCCACTTCAGGACATGGGGTGGCTGTGGTGGTGGACTGTTCTGGGGAAGACGGTAAGCACGAGGCCTGTGGAGTATCCTGGCTGCTTTAGGCAGTAGTCGAGAACTTGTGGAAAGGACAGGATGTAAGGTCATGACTTGACCTTCCTGGTGCAACTTGAGAGGCACAGAGCTTCTAGGACTGGTTTCACATGATCTCTGTCTCTTGTAGCTGGATTCAAATACCAAATAAAAGGGCTCCAGATTTATAAGTGGAGTTGACACCCTCACTGGTCAGGAGCCCAGAAATCATGTGCACACGTGATTGCCCTCAGAGAGCTCATCCACTCACAAGAGACGCTCCCCTCTGGTTCTCACTTGAGCTAATGCATGAGTCCTGACATGAGTCTTTCATATGCTGATGTGACCACATATTTTGACCTTCCTGGCTGTGGCCACCCTGCACAGGAGCTTGCCTGCTGTTGAGCTCCTCTGCCCCCTTCCCTCAGGGCTAGGACCCAGCCCCCAGGTCTCCCAGGGTCTCCACTCACTCGCCTCATCCCCCTCCAGGCCCTGTCCTCTCTGAAGGTGACCTCCTCCCACACTACTCGCCCTATTTTTCTTTCATAAAAGGCTGTCCTCCGAGGCCCCAGAGCCCACAGCCACTGTCTCCAGAAGCCTATTTACCAAGGCGGAGAGGACTGTGCCAGTGAGCACTACTGCCCAGGCTCCCTCCTCCTCTCCACACCAGCTCCCACCGACCCCTGCCCACGGACCACCCCAGAGGGCCAGCATCCCTTCTGGGGGAGCAGTGGGAAGGTGACTGTAGGGGCCCAGGCAGCAGTACCAGGCCTCTGCCACAAGATGGCAGACACTTCACTTTTATTTGAGAGGAAGAAACTAAAATAAACAGTGAGGAAAACCCATGGAAGACAGCTCCAAGCTGTCCTCCTGCACTTGCTGTCCTCCTGCACAAGGTGGGATGTTCTGGTCAGTTCTCGTTGGGCTGGGAGATGCATTTTGGCATCACTGGGCCTGAGGTCAACATTGTCCCATCCATGCTGGGGTGGCCAGCCTCGAGGCTGAGGCCGTCCCTGAGCACAGGGCTGTCGCTGTCCTCAACCCTCGCTCTAAAACTGGGGAGGGAGGACAAACACATGAGAAAGAAACTGTATGTAAAAGAAAAGGGAAGAGGAAAACAGAAATCCTAACTAGTATCTGCTTTTCCTCCTCCCCCACGTCCCCTGCCTCTGCTCTCTCACACACATGGCTTCAGGAGCAGGTCACTGTCCTCAGCCCTCCCAGGCCCATCTCCTGGAGAGGTCTTGCCAGACACACACAGCTGGAGGCAGTGCTGGGGATTCCGGGGCCGGTTTGTTTCAGACCTGGTTGGGGCCAGTCAGCTGTGCCAACCCTCATCGCTCTTTTGTTCCAGCCCTTCCACTGTACTATTTGAGCTACAGGGTTAAAGAGAACAGGACTCAGGACTGGGATTGATTATTGTCCCCAGAAGCCAGGAGAGCACATGCTGGTAATGGCACCTCCTTAAACCATGAAGTGAAGCCTCCCCAAACCCTTAGGAGAACCCAATGGCCTTTCTGTGCTGGGTTTCACTCCACATCCTAGGCCTCACGTCCCTGGTCCTTTCCTAACTCTTTCCTTTTCCTTCCTCTCTGAAAACTCTTTTTGTGGGTGATACAGAACTTTATACATTTCCTGAACATTCCATTCCCTTGCACACAACCTCCTTGGAATGCTCTTTCTTCTCTTCCAGATCAGGTGAGCTGCTACCCATCTCTCAGCATGGAGATCAAATGCCCCCACCTCTATAAAACCTTTCCTGAATCTATAAAGCAGGAGTTGCTCCAACGTCTAGGCTCCCACTAAAGGGCTATTATTTTTGGTACTTTTGACATTGCATTCTAATTGTCCTTTGTTTCTCTAAGCCACTTCCACTCCCTTCTGACAATACACATACAGATCCATATGATCCTTGAGGGTATGGACTCTCGTTTCTCGACCTCATCTCAGTGATTAATGAGTCTTGGGGATTCATTTCACCTTAGGGGCTTCCACTTGGGTCCCTGCTGCTGCTTCAAGCCAAAGCACATCCTTGGGGACCTCAGGGACTTTGGGGAGCAGGGTGCTTAGGCTCTCACTTTCCTTGTCAAAGACCCTTGGCCAATTCCATAGGTAGGATTACTCTTTAGACTGTTTCAGTGGCCATGTCCATACAGGGAGGATCAATCATCTTGCATAGAAGGATGACCTCAGCATCTCTGATAGCTCTTGAAAAAGCCTGTTAGCTCTTCTGCGGAGGGGGGGTGAGTGGGGTGATGGTGGGGGGGATGGAGGAGCAAGAGGAAGTGAAGATGAAGACCAGGTTACAGATGATCCTTCTAGCCTCCAAAGTCCACTGGTCAATTTGGGCCACGTGTAAGCAGTGTAGGTGCTGGTGGGGTGAACCTCAGTCTTTTCCTAAATCAGGCGGTCTATTCAGTAGTGGGGGTGTCATAAGTAATTTGTTATGAATAATGGCTAATGTATCAATGTTTATTTTTTTAAATAACATTTATTTACTTATTTTTGAGAGAGAGAGAAGGGGAGGGACAGAGAGAAGGAGACAGAGAGTCCCAAACAGGCTCTGTACTGTGAACACAGAGCCCAAAACAGGACTTGAACTCACAAA